AGCATGGCTGGCTAGGGGATTCTGGGAGTTGAAGTCCACACATCTTCAAGTTGCTACAGTTGAGAAACATTGGTCTACACTTCTGTTTTGAGTCACAGGTCTGTCCCATTACTATGCAGGTACCAACTGCTAAGTGTTAAAGTTTAATTTCCTTGTGAATTATTTTCACGAAAATAACTGGGAGGCAACAGGGAGGTTGGGGAAGGCTCCATAATTCCGCCATGCCTCCATGCCCAATCTGAAACCATTGATGTGACTGATCTGGACCTACGATACCTAACATTTTACACACATCCTTTCCATTTGAACTAACAGCGACTGCCTCCTTACTTTTTACCAACGTCGGCCTCTGACATCTCGGTGGCCAAGAACGACAAGTTGAGAGCGTCTGGGATTCCAAAGCCCTCATCCTGATTTTCCTTGTTGTTTTGTTTGAGGCTGTGTTGACTGTCTTTTTTCTTCTCCATGAGATTTTGCATCCTCTTCTGCTGCTGCTCTTGGAGAGCCTTAAACTGCATTTTTAAATGTTCACTTACATCTTCATCAGGCTCCATGGCTGCCCTTGAACGAGAAGTCAAATTAAGACAATGAAAGCAAAAGGCCTTTGGCTAGCTCTTTAAGAAATTTTTCCCCAACTTCCTGAGTTAGTGGAGTCTTTTCCCTTGTTGGCTACCTGCTTATGTAGGAAAACATACAAGCATCACCTGCAATGCGCATGTTTATTGATGAGGCCAGGAGGCCACCAAAGGATGAGCAGGAAATTCAGGTGGAGCAGTTAACTCCCCCTTCCTTCCTGCCAGGTTATCCTTTCTCCATCTTTACTACTGTTTAAAACAAAGCTAACTCTGAGATATTTTAATGCCGAATCAATTGCATTCCGTCTACTTTGGTTTTTGGCAAACGGCGTCCTCCTCTTCCAAATTCGTAGCAACCCCAGCCGGCAGCAGCCATGGTGGAGAGAGAGGAGTTGAGGTCGAATGCCAAGTCAGTTGGCTTAATCGGCTCGCAGTACAAAACTGTATTATTTAAAATAGTGATTGCAATTGGAAATGCATGCCGCTGTAATTTACTCTGAATAAGGCCATTTTATTCACGATGGCAATAACTTGCAAACAGAACCCCTGTCCCTTCTGAGAGAGGGAAACTGGATTGTAAGGCACTTGAAAATGGGACGTGGGTGCCGGATTTTTTTTTAAAAGATGCCTCCTTTCCCCCCCCCCCCCTCCTATAATTCAAAGACAGAAGGAAGAGAAACCGAGATTTTCCAAAGATCAAAATCCTAAACAAAGTTTATTTTACAAAGGGTAAAGCCAAGGAACCCATCCGCCAGGTAAAGGGACGGGCCAAAGTAATAGCTAGAGGACCAGAAAAATGATTAAACCTATCTTGGGACATTACTTTTTTAAAATAAAGAC